CACACGATGTCCTAGCTTCGACACACCTCTCCCTTTCTGGGGTGGGAAAACACATAAAAGATAACCAACAGACAACACAACCAACGCCCCGCCGCGCGCCGTGCAGCTCCGGGGGCACGACGGTGAAGATTATGCTGGGCGTCTACTGTTATATCGCGGAGCGCCCAACATAAGATATAAATCTGGGGTCTGGCGCACCCTCCCCGGCCAGTGTAGCGCAAGGCTTACGAACTCAGCCACGGTCAACCAGAGCGAGGATCGCTGGTCCAGAGGGGCATGCGAGCGCTTCTGCGGCACCTTCGCTCTGCCCAGGAGCGGCGGGCGGCAATAGAGCGAAAATATGGCGATCAGACGACAGCGACGAGAAGATCTACCGGTGGTCCTTCGCGGGAAGGATACGACTACATGCACCGTTGGACCAGCAGCATCACCCATACACGGCGGCGCCGAAGGAGAACCGTGACGGTCTCGGGGGTCGCCTTCTGGGCTTCACTGACCTTCATCTTCGGTTCTCGGCGGGCGGCGTCTATGAGAATACCAAGACCATGGAGCGAGCGGTCTTCGTGCGAGAAGGCCGTGGAACCGGCTTGGCCTTTCGTCTACAGCAAGTACCGTGGCCAGGAGGTATGCGGTGCAGCAGTGTCACCGTGCGGTACACGGTCTTGTCCTTCGTTTGACCCAGGGCACAGCTCAATAGAGCGTACACGTAAACGCAGCCACTTGCCACGAACGCCATTCCATAGGATACATACACGGCCGCGAAAAGCTACAGTAGACTGCTGTGGTCAACACCTATCATTTATCATCGCACTTGGTAGAGTACAACATATAGATTACATTGTGCCGCCACCGCCCGGTGACCCTACCGTACAAACAACAGTACGTTGGATGCTGACAGCGTTGCTTGCTTGCACAGGAAAGACATATTCTTGTCGTCGAACAGCTATGTGGACCCCGTGCCTATCATGCCTTGATCAGAACGATGCTAGGGCTCGCCACATTTTGCTGCAGGACGAACAACCACATTGGGTTAGCCCATGTGCCTTATCCCTCCGCATGTCAACGCCGCTTGTGCCTTGGTAGGTGGAAGCGAAAGGCAGAACAAACACCAACTTCCAAGACGAACGGCACGAGTGCGACCGGCGAGGAGTGCGCAGCAAGTGCCACGTGTGCGAGGACATCGTGTGCGGGGAAAATCTAGATGCAGACTGCTCGTACCAGTTACAGGGGGTGAGAAATTTACAGTCGAATCAAAAAGACATGTGTTGCACCGATTGCAGGTGGGTAGTGCAGGGCTACTCCTTCTTCACACAAAAGTATACATGGCGTGCGGAATTTGTTGAGGGGCATGATATTCCAGGACACCGAGGCTTCACCTGGGAATTGCGACCGTCTGAGATACTCCTTGAGCTGCGGTGTCAGGGTTGACACCGCAGCTCAAGAGGTATCTCAGACGGTCGCAATGTTGGGCAGGAGGCGTGTAAAACCATACAGGGCACCAAGAATTGACCACAAAAGCACAAGATCCCTCTCTCGCGCGCGCTCCGTCGGAATGCTTGCACGTTGTGGGACTTGCAGGTGAACGCCTCCCTTCTGGCCACAAATATTCCATCGGTTAGTGACACCCCCTGGGCGGTGGGTGGGAGTCATAGGAACGACTTCGGAAGCGCCTCGGTTTCGAGAGTGTGCATGTTGCTCAGCGGAGGGGCATGCCTCGAGCCACTCGGTGAGATTGGCATCGTTTATTTTGCAGTGACACAATTCATGGTTTTCTCTTCCGTGGAGTCGTTGTACCGAGAGGGCATGGATCACCTTCTGCATCACGCGAGGATAGCTGTTGCCTCCGCTATTTTGCAGCAATAGGTGTAAACAAAGACATACCGCCAACAAACGGCAGGCTTCGACGTGCCATTTGTACCGTTTGTCGACATTCAGAGCTCAGCGTCGGCGTTGAACTTCGCTGTTGACGGGAGAGCACGTTGACCCTTAGCCGAGTTTGCTTGGACAAAAACATGCTGCAGGCGAAGACTACACCAACTGCACTACGAGGTGCTGGGGCGACGGATTCTCTGGCGCGGACGCCTCCCCAGTAAACCACCTTGCGGCGCCCAGGTGACAAGTCAAACGCACGTGATATGCTGCAAACAGCGCGCTGTACTATTGCTGTCAATACCTCGGTATCAATGCTGTAGATCAGCACGGTATGTCGAGGTCAGCTTAGGTGCATCAATATGGTCTACTCAGCTCTCAACAGGATGGCGCGAGAAAACCCGATTTCAAGCTCCCACAGAAGTGACTGTGACAGAGATGGAATGCTGCCGGCCTGACGCAGGGCTGTGCGCGAAATCGGGTTATGCTTTGCTTCAATCCGACCCGTACGCCGCAAGCACACCCGCGCGACACCAATGTTTCCGCTATCGTTGAGACCAGCTTGTGAATACAAAAGTAGACGTATGCGAAGGGAAGGAGAACCATGCATGCTGGCAATCGTGTAGAGTTTCAAAGGTACCTATTCGAGCGAAACTACCGCCACGAGACTCTTGCCGACGCAGATTGAGGATGTTACACCGTTGTGCGTTGTTCTCACGACGAAGGAAGTTCCGTTCTCTAGGCTGTGCTCGAAACTCTCGCCTATGAAAATTACAGAATGCTGACCCTCTATTGACTGCCAAAATTCACCTTCCTGCCCTCGCAGATCGGTGACGGATGATATCCATGAGTACATCCCTACTGTGGCTTGGGAGTACCCGAAGGTATGCCAGGCGATACGACAATGGGTCCGGTTTGGTGGTACAGGTTCAGGGTCAAGTGTTCTAGCTTTGCACCAAAATGCTCAAAGAGGATAGCGACACGTAGGGTTGGGGTCTAGGACCAAAGCTGTACACCACCCAAATTCACACAACACGACCGCAGTCGGGTTCTCACCAAACAAGCAGAGACACACGTGCAAGAACCGAAGCGAGACGTGCTCCTTCCCCCCTCCCTACCAACACCAATCACTACCTTTCAGAATGCATAGATGCGGTAGACTATCATGTGGGGAGTTCAACGTTCCTGAAAGTCGAGGCTGGTGCCGACGGTGGCCTATTGAAAGGGCCTGTGGAAAGGTTCACTGTGGACATGAACCCACCCGTGCGAAACATCTGACCGTTTCGCCGTGTTCCCATTCGTGACGTTGATTCGGAAGGCTCTGACTTCGTCGTATGGCCCCCTGGAGCCAACCCCGACGTTCAATCCTCAGGGATACGTCTTCACCCTCGCGGGGGGTTCGGGTGACGCGGGATACGCGGACGGCAGCGGAACAGCAGCGCTCTTCAACGATCCACAGGTTCGCCGGGCAGATGTAGTGGAGGAGTGCTTGGCGAAGCGTTTGGCCGCCAGCTGTTTGGTATTCGCACTTAAACATGTGCCATTTGTCTATCGTGCGTCGAAACGAGCGAACTGACTTCAGTCTTTATCGGTTCGCGTCGCTGTTGCAATGACCCACATTCCCGGTCTGGACGAACGTCTGAATGCGAACGACGCCTGCGTACAACCTTTGACGTTCAGACGGTCTTCTGTGGTGTTATTCGACCTGGGTTCGGCTCTGCTCGAGTCCCGCCCCGTCGCCTAACGTGATTACGACGTCCTGGTTTGCGCTCCTGAACGAAACGTAATAGCAAAGCTGCCGATTCGCACACCTTCGGATCTGCCGTTTCTCCCTACTCTTTTCTCACACACGCAGGACGTGGCCGTTGATGCCGATGCGAACGTGTACGTCGCCGATACCGGGAACCACAGGATACGCCGCATCTCGCCCGAGGTACGCCGCGTACAAGCATGGTTACACGCTTTCCCTCTGCATCCGGTCGCACGCATATCCGACGCTAAAGGCAAACAAAGTCGTGTGTGAAGGGCAGCTGTTTATACCCTGAAACATGGCCCTTTAATCAATGCCTACGTGTGTCACTCTTTTCTGGCCCTGATTTACCTTAAGCTGCAATTCTTGCAATAAATGTGCTGGACAACAGGGAGTTGTCACCACTGTGGCAGGCGACGGCGAAGAAGGTTCCGACGACGGCCACGCGATGGAGGCGTCGTTCTCCTTCCCGAGGGGGATAGCCCTCTACTACGATTCTTCGGAAGGTTTGCTTGAAGAGAGACTAGTCACGGAGGGCTCACCACCACCCGTCACAGACGGACAACAAGCACAACTCTTCGCGGTTTTCCAACTTTGATGCCCTTGCGGTTGGCAACGATTCTCCACGCGTACCGTTCTCTGTGCGCTCTCATTCAGAGTGAATTCTGTCGAAATAATCACTTACCTTGGGCGGAAGACCTATCTGCCTTGTCAAGGTGCCACCGACAACGAATGCTTACTTCTAATGCCCGATGCGCTCACTGGTTGCCAAGCCTCAACCTATGTTGATAGTCTGTTCTGATCGTCCCTTTCACCATTCGTCTCCAACGTGTCTCAGGTCTCGTGCTCTACATAGCCGACACCAACAATCACCGCCTGCGGAAAATTGCGGGGGACGTCGCGAACGGAGCCGGCACCGTCACTTGTCATGCCGGGAGGTGAGCCGACTTATCAAGCACTTGGCTTTTGCCCCTTTGTCCCCTTTGTCCCCTTTGTCCCCTCCCTGAAAAAATTGCCGTGTAGATTCAGCTACTGAGAGCAATACGTTGTTCAATCAAGACTCCCCGGTGGATGGCTGAGCATGCGCCGGCAGGAGTTGGCATCCTGGATCCTGCTTCCTAGTTACGTTAACAGTGCCAAACACCGTGAAGAGGGAGTGTGCGATGACATGCGGCATACTCTATCTCACAAAAAGTCCCACGTATGATATCCGCGTCCCTTGTCTCACTCCTCGTCGTTTCCCCTGAAGACGAAGACAACGGTTTCCCCCCCTCACCAAGATGAAGCACGAGAGTGTGTGTGCGTGTTTGAAACAAGCAACTCGGCGTCCGTATTTATGGTGCCTTGAAGGTGCGGGAATGGGACGGAGAGTGCGACGCGGATGGCGGCGGAGGCAACACCCGAGGCCGGTTTCGCGGACGGAGACGGAGACTTTGCCAGATTCGACGGCCCGTGGGGCCTTGCGGCGACGGAAGACGGGACACTGTTCGTGGCGGACACGAACAATCACTTGGTGAGCTCCTCGACAGGGTGTTCTGTTGTTCGACCGAATCACTCTCGGGGGTTGTACAGCTGACCGATACGGTGTACCACCGGGAGCATCACTCGCAGACAAGCAAGCCCTCTTGCTTCAAGTGTCGCATCGATTTGGCGGAGCACCCAAACGAGACTAATAGGCAAATCCGAGGAGATACGCTCCCTGGCGAGACATGGGCAGAGAATGAGCAGGACAGCAACATGCTGTTCGCCCAGGCAACCGGCCACTGACGTCGCAAGAATATCGAGCAGAACCCCATGTGTTCATGACACTTTCTTGGTCCCCGTGCGACTAGTTTCACGTGCGGCTGACCCCGTGCGGGTTGCTTTGCAGATAAGGATGGTCCTCGCGAACTCGACGGTCTTCACGTTGGCAGGGGGGCTGGAGGGGGCGGAGGTTGAGGCGGGCGGGGAGGAAGTTTGCCCATCCCCTTGCCTGCGGGGCGTGGCTGGCCATACTGACGGCAACCTGACGGCGGCCAGGCGAGACAACACAGCAGTCAAATTATATGGGTTACCTCATTCCGACGAGGTGCTGCTCGGCTTATTTCAGCATTGCGTATTCTTGGGCCCTTTTTCTTGTGACTGTCAGTTCGTTTCACGGCATGAAGACAGGTAGTCGAATTTGGCTTTGCCGAGTGAGTTGGTAGGGAACTCCAACCCGCGATTGTTCGCAGAATACCATCCTGCCTAGGCTGCAGACCGCATTTTGCTTGAAGCAAAAGCGTATGGTGTCTCGCTCTACACTCGTCGGGTTCTTGTTCATCCTGAGGCATGTTTTTATCGCTTGGCTTGGGTGCCGCTGGGGGGCTTGGTTTTGTGCGCAGGTTCAACTACCCCGCGGATGTCTCGCTGGGGACCAACGGCACACTGTTCGTGGCCGACCTCCACAGCCTGAGGAGGATATCCATGCCCGAGAACCCGACCACTGTGCTCGGCGTTGGATTTGACGGGAGGGTGACGACTGCGGCAGGCGGTGCAGAACCTGGAGAGGCAGACGGGACAGGTCCAGAGGTACTGACAAACATATTGTTCTTTGACGACGGACCGCACGGGCGGCGGACGAGCGGGGGGGGGCGTTCCTGTAGGGTGACGGCTTCAACGCCTAGACACATGGCACCACTGAGTAACGATTTGTCCACAAAGAAAGGGCGCCTTTTCTCCGGAAGATTATCTGGCCGTGGTTTGCACTTTGTATATTGAGGTCAAAGAGCCTCTTCTTCCCTCCCCCCCCCTCCGCTTGTCCCATCCAACCCTCTGCCCGCGCTTGACGTACCACCTACCTCGGTTGAACAACGAACATGCCCCGTTTTGTGATCAGGCACGATTTTCGAGGCCATCTGGTGTAGCGTCCACGGCGGACGGCGCCGCCTACCTCTCGGACGCGGCTTCCTGCCGCCTGCGGCGAGCAGCACCGACGATCTCCTTCGCCGCCGCTCTGGCCACTTGCAACACCACCCTCACCGAGGCCTTGCGGCCTTCGGGGTGCTCGTCGTACGACCCCCCCCAAGGCGGGGACGGTCTCTCGGCGTCTCCTCTCTCGGGAAATATCTGGTACAACCACTGGCGCAACGTGTCCGAATTTTCCGACGGCGACGGAAGTGGCGGGTCGTCGTCAATGGCGGCGGCGACGGCGGCCGCGGCCGCCGCTGGCGACGGGCTCNGCGCAACGTGTCCGAATTTTCCGACGGCGACGGAAGTGGCGGGTCGTCGTCAATGGCGGCGGCGACGGCGGCCGCGGCCGCCGCTGGCGCCCGCTTCGATTCCGACGGCCGCGCCGTTCGCCAGTGCGTGGGTTTCCCGCCCCCCTACCGGTTCGACCGAGCCGGCGACGGGCTCAGCGCTCTGGTTGTAGAGGACGGCCTCGTCGGCGCGTTCGAGGACACCGGAGTGGGCACCACGGTGCGGCTCGCATGCCCCGCCTACTGCCTCGGGGCCGCCTCCGGCGCCGCCGCCGGCGAAGTCCGCGGCTCGCCCGACTTCTACACCGACGACAGCGCAGTCTGCATGGCCGCCGTCCACGCCGGAGTCTTAACTGCCGACACCCCGGCATCCCCGCGACCGCCAGCCGCGTCCTCGTCATCATCGTGGGGGTCTTCCCCAACTGGCCAGGCCCTAGACCACGTCGTGGTAGTAGCGAGGCTGCTGGCCGGAAACACCTCGGACGCCGCGGTGCCGGGAACGCGCGCGGCGGGATCCATCGCCAACGGCGTCTCGGCGGGCGACGCGCCCGGCGACTGGGCGAGGGGGTTCGCGCTGGAGGCCGCGCTCCCCGGCGAGCTCACGGCCCAGACGGTGGCCGGGCGACCCGCGGGGCCCCTCGAGGAAGGCTGCGGGGCGCTCAGCGACGGGCAGCCTCCACAGGAAGCGGTGTTCGGGAGGCCCGGGGGGATCGACGCCTGGCGGTCGGCAAACATCACGAATCGGGTGAGATGAACAAACTAATTGATTTGTGGCCGGTCTCCGAGGGGCATCTATCTTCCGCAATATTTTTGTCTCGGGATCGCTTCATCAGACGTTCGACAGGAGGAGGCGTCTTGACGCGAACGCCTTTCCTCTTCTACCCACCTCCTCGTGTTTTTTCTCCCCCTAGCGTTTTTTGTACGTCGCAGACGCAGGAAGCCACGCAATCCGCGCCCTGTCGGCTGTGTGCTCGTTCGTGTGCGAGAACGGAGGGGTGTGTGAGGGCCCTGACCGGTGCAGCTGCCCCACGGGGTGGACGGGATTGGACTGTTCCCTGCCGTTGTGTTCGGACGGACTATGCGGCCCTCGGGAGGTATGAGCAGTATTCAGACTTGGGGAGCAGGGGGGGAGAGGAGAGGCACGCGGCCCCTTCGACATCTTCAACGTGTAACGGCCGAGTCGCGCAAAATCGACGGAAACGACTGGGATTCTTCCAAGCCATTTTCGCTTGGATCATGATGACAGGGGACTTGTTTTGCCTATGCCCCACCGAGACCGAGGAGTTTCCAGCAACATGGACAGACAATTCGCTCAGCTGTCCGTGCCGAACAACAAACAAGCACATGCATAATACCCAAGGACAAAATTCGGTCGCATTCCTACAGCCTTAGCCATTTCTCAATGCCTTACCCGACTGCTTCTGCTGTGCACGAAAATATCGCCCGATGCAACATAGCTGTGTGTGGGCCCAGAAGAGTGCGGCTGCATCCCGGGCTACACGGGTGCGCCCTCCTGCCTCGACGCCCTCTGCGTCCAGACGTGCGAGAACGGGGGTAGCTGCGGGCTCCCGGACACGTGCAACTGTGCGGATGGCTGGTTCGGGCCCAACTGCACCGTCCCCGTGTGCGCCCAGACCTGCGGCAACGGTGGGAATTGCACCGCCCCGGGGGCTTGCGCGTGCCCAGCGGAGTGGTCGGGCGGGGGCGGGGTCGTGGCGGCGGCGGTTGCCGTCGAAGGGGGAGAGGAGGGGGACGATTGCCGGGTTCCGGTTTGCGACGTGCCGTGCTTGAACGGCGGGTGGTGCGTCGCGCCGGGGACCTGCGCATGCCCGCCGCAATGGACCGGTCACGACTGCGCAATGCCGGTGTGCACGCAGGTGAGCACGATTTGAGCGAGGGGTGTGAGTGTGACAGAGAGGCGCGGGGTCTTTGAGATTGAAGGATAACCTGGTCCTAGGCCTTAATCACACCGTCACCTGGTGATACGCATACCTCCGTTGAGCGCAAGCACGGGTCGATTTAAAATGCAAGTGGTCTCGATATGTATTGTTTGAAAGTTCCAAGCACCTACCTTCCGGAAAAGGGTGGGGTGGTGTAGCCTCGGAGCTTCCCTCCTGAGCCTAGAACCTATCGTCTTCCTCGACAACTTGCAAGCGAAAGTGATTGCTCCTCTGTACGCACCTTTATAGTGCCTGTGTGTCTTCTCTCGCTTGCACTCGGACGGAGCGAAGGGCTACTTCGTGCCAGGGTACAACGTGTCCGGCTTCGATCCCGAGGGACGGCCGTGGTGGTGGCAGCGGTACGTCCCCTGCGATGTCGAGGGCTGGTGTAACGCCACCAACGGTTTCGACTGCTCGCAGGTGAGAGCAAATTAAGGTCAATCGGCAGTTTTTTGTAGTGGGGAGCAGGGAGACGTGCCTTGTTGTGCGTCTCTCGTCGTCTTTAATCACGTGAGCTTTTCTTTGGTTTGAACGGAAGGTTTACTTTTTGCATTCAGCGCCTTGGGAGGACTTCCTCGTTTGAAGACGAACCCGTCGGCTGTGCTACCAACCCACCGAAAAATCAACTTCTCTAGTAGAGTTGACACAGAGATTCGCCTAACGTAACACCACACTCCCTTTTCCCCACAGTAGTCGAGAAGTAACCCGTACGGCAACACCCCGCTGGATCACAAGCTAACTTTACCAACCGACACCGGCTGCCACGCACCTTTGCTTGCGCGGTTCCACGCACAGCCGATGAGGTCGTTCGAGGCGGTTCCCGTTGACTGGGGGGCTTACCACAGGTCGGAGACCGGGCGTTCCGAGAACCCGGACCGCTGCATGATGATCGAGCTGGAAAAGGACGTGGTGTCCCCGTTTTCCTACCTCCGGGCGGACAACGGCTCCACCCCGTTCGCCAGGCAAGCTGTTTTGCGGGCCCTTCGGTTTCGAACTCGCCGTAAAATTTTGATTGTTGAATTCTGTCCACCTACGCCACTAGCATACCGTTTCGTTTCAGTGGCGCTTGATCCCAAAGACCTGAGCGCTGTAGTTGTGTTGGGATCTCCGACCACCGTAGGTGTGTAGGCCAGAGCCCTTACGTTGACACGATGCTTGGCATACTGGCGAGAAGTGTTTTGAGGGCACGGGAGATGTGCTTGGTCTTGGAGGAGATGTGCAAACAACATAGATTTTGTTCAAAATCGCTGCGAAATGTGAAATTCCGGGCAGGTTTGTAATAACCTCCCTATCCTCTAGACACCATATCTATTTGATGCCCTCCCTTACCCCACGTTGTAGGTATAGTCCCACCCACCCGTACGAGTGGACTGCAAGCCCACGAAGCCCTTGGTCGGCTTACAACGATACTGCTCCTGGGAGAACAGGACCTTTCGTTTGGACGGAGGATCGCCAGGTAGGGCATTGCTCCAGTCAGCCCCATGTCTCGAAGAATAGCCTTTCATGCGCCAGGGTTTGTGGAGAGATCCCCAGTCCTGCAAGGAGAGACGCTCCGTTTTCCAGGAAGGTCCACAGATAGAGTGATGAGGCTAGGTATCACACACGTGGCCTGCTCTTGTGCAAAGAGGTTGTATTTCAACTTTAATACTCTCCAACGGCCATACATCCCCTGGAACAAGTTAGGGAAGTTTGTCATTCGTCCTGGCTAATCATTCCGCCGAAAGATCCGTATCTGACGCACTTGGCTTAAGGAGTGATGCGATCCAGCTGATCAAGACGCCCGGCTTGTGGAAGGAGGTTTTGACCTGCATCCCCTCAAACGTTGCAGGTAGCACTGGTCGAGTACCACAACGTCACGGAAGGACGCTACGTGTGCGCGAACGGCGGCAACTGCACTGCCCCGGGGGTGTGCGAGTGCGCGACGGGTTGGTCTGGGTTCGACTGCCGGACTCCAATCTGCTCCCAGGCAAGAGTCCCACGACGAAGACAACTAAATTTACTCCCAGTTCCCACAGCCACCAACACAACTTGACGCGCAACAGACCAGATCTACCGAACAGGTAGAACGAAATAGTCGACACAGCAATCATTTTCACTACAGCACCCAACAGTGACAACACCGTCGACACCAGGGATGCCATGGCTCTACTGCCCTTCTTTTTCCTCGACCCACCACTTTCCAAAACCAGATCGACTAAACACGCAGAACGAAACAATCGAAACAACAACCACCTAACCCCAACAAGGACAACACAATGACATCAGGGATATTACGACCCCGATCAGACTGAATTCGTTTCCGGCAATGGAGACGCTAGCGACCTGGACGCGTTCGAGCCATTCTTTGACCAAGACCGCACCGCCGCCTACCGCCTGTCGTGGCCCTACTCCAACCCCGCCTACACCACGGAGTGGGAGCGGTTCGACAACAAGAGCCACCTCGCCAGGAGCAGCGTCGAGGAGGGCGGAATCCGGTGCGAGCATGCACGTGATTTTCGGCCAGCGGTTGGTTCCTACAGTTCCGCTAAGAGAGCAAGGGCTCATGTTGCGGAACATGCGAGTTCCGCTTGGTTTTTGACTTGCAGCCCTAGCAAGCTGACAGCCAGGCAGACTTCAAGAACCCCCCACCCCACACGCGAGGTCAAGGGTCAATCAACAGAGGCATGCAAAGCATGTGTACACCCTTGACAAACACACAATGTTCCCGATGTTCAGTCGTCGTCGTTCCCCTCCAGCAGCTTGCCTTCCACGTGACGCTCATGGCGACGCCTGCCACAAACATACAGGCTTCTTCCAGCCAATTACTGCTGCAAGTTATTTTTCCTCTCATCCACCCCTTTTCCTGAAACCTCCTCCTCCGTTGATGGTGTACGCGCAGGTACCTAGGCCCGTCGGAGTGGTCGGCGGGAGGAGCCGAGCGTGCGTTCACCTATCAGGGGGGCTACTACTGCTCGGTCCGGGCGAGAACTGAGTTCGAGAACGAACACTTCGTGCTGGATGCGCCCAACTACTGGTCCCGATATATGGACCCTAAGGTGTGTGAGCTGGGAAGCTGACTTTGCACCGGCATCAGCGCCCCGAAATGCCCCGCCACACTCGCGTGGTGGCACGGCTTATCGCACCAAAATTCTTGTGTTATGTTCGGTTCCTAAAGCATTGTGAAATAAACGGTTGGTTTAAGATGTTTTCGGCGTCATTTATTTGATTGACGGAGCATCTGCATTTTTCGCAACTCAATCAAGCTCGCAACCTCTACGTCATTCGCACAGCGTTCAAAACACCTCACGGTGTCTATTACCTCCCGCAACGAACGAGCCTTGCCCCTTATTGGCCCCCGCGTGTATCCGGTACGGCTGTTTGCGTACATAGGTGGAAGATGACGGCGAAATGTACACCTTCTGGGAGGACATGTTGTGGCCCCCGTTGCACAGCAAGAGCGCAAGGTGAGCGCAACAAGCAAAATCTCTGCCCCCGTCTCTTTCTCCCGCCTCCTCCTGAACGGTTGTCTCGGGTTTCAAAGTTGATGCCCTACGTGCTCGCGGCAACTTCCTTCGGATTAAGGCTAGCACCTCCCTTCTGCTGAAGGTCGGCCAGCTCTGGGTCTACCCTGCTGCGACGAATGTCGCCATCGTTTATGTTTGGTGTTCTCGTGACATGACGGTAAAATAATCTTCGTTTCTCTTAAATGATTTCGCGAAGACATAAGTTTCTGTACATAGATAGATGGCGGTGCTTCTTGGAATTCTGCCACGCTTTTTGCGGTTTGGCGCTCTCCAGGATGTTCATGCCAGCAGATGCAACCAGAGCATCAGCACAGCGATCACGTCTTGTGTATTCCCCGCTCTTTACGGCCCAAGCGGAGAACAATCATAAGCATTTATTCCCCGTCAAAGATGGTCACTCGTTCTTGATGGATCGCTTGGAAGCAGAATGGGGGTGATACAATCTCGGAATAGAGCTTGGGGAAGAAAACATGCAACTATTTCGGCATTCCCTACGTCCAGCTGTGTGTGATTCACGCCCGTATCGCTTTGCCTCAAAAATATTCACGCCCGTATCTCCGAAGAACCAACCTCGTGATCCATGTACGGGTGGATCCAAAAATTAACATCTCGCAACAAGTGGATGTGCTCAACAACAAAATAATATGGTCAGCACGGCCTTACCAAGCTGAAGAACAAGGTACAGCGTTAAATGTGCTCTGGTTGCCCTTTTTTCTATCTTAACGGAGACACAGGTTGGAGTTGATCGACGACGAGGGGCACTTCTATGTTTTCACGGACGTCGGCCACAAGCGTGACGGCGTCTGGACGGCGACCGGCGAGTCCTGGCAGAAGGGCGTGTGCATCATGCAGTTCAACAGGAGCTGTCCTGCGGGAAAGGCTCAGGTACGCACGCACGCAGACGACTAAAACGAGGCGAAACCGTAGATCTGGGACGAGAAGGAATGCCATGCTGCTGTCGGGTTCGCTGGTGTCATCTGTGCCATGGGCGAGAGTTTTATGAAGATTTCACTGATTAAAGTGCCCATGTCTTTTGATGGCGGGGTTATGTGTGGACGATCGGTACGGTGATGACTTCGTCGTGCTGCTCTTCATCTAAGTGTATGTGCTGCGGGAAAGGGGATCGGGCTTCGTGTGCACCAACAAGCCGATATCAGCCGTTTGTTGCCAGCGCGACAAGCGTGTGATTGATGCCATGCTCAAACTATATTGATTTTCCGAAATGTTTGACACGATCTGAATGACCGTCATTCGCCTTTGGGCGGAAGCAGTTTGTGGTCTTCGGATGGTGGGGTTAACCCCTCTAGTGTCATTCTCCTGCCCAAAACATCGCCACCAAGTATTGAACGTACTACTTACAACGCACATCAGCTTTCATATCCCAGACGGGCGTTTGTCCGGGAGATGTGCAGAATGCACATGACGGTCTTCAAACTACATGGCGGTCGTCAAAGTCCTTGCTGCGCAAAGGACCTAATCTCCTCATACATTGCTCAGCTTCCCGTCGAAACGGTAACCGGTGCTCCCCGAACCTGAAACGTAAACCCAGGCGGTTGACTTGGAATCCGTGGCCGTCGGGGAGGAGGGCGGAGGTGTCCTCGTTCAGGACACGGACCTGAGTTACAGGCTACGCGTGACGTACACACAATGGAAGGAGGAAGGAGTGGGCTGGTGGGAGGTGAGTGAATGGGTTTGTTTGGGAGTGGCGACTCTGTCGATCCCTTTCTGAAGATCCCGCCTGCGTGGAGGTAGGACACCGAACAACCATCAGCGGTGCTTGCTTCGAGCGGATAACTCTAGGAATGATGGTAATGACATGCCATCGAGCGCACTTTGCTTCGTTCGCCATGCCACCCCGACTTGAATTTGAGCTGGAGGTGATCGTTTCCTTCCGAGGGGAAGCGAACGGAGGCTCAAACCATAGAGAATGGGGTACTGCAGAAAGCATGAAGCTTTGGAGTCGCCTAACATTGTCCTTGTTCGTTTGTTTGCTAGCTGTACTGCACGGTTCCGGTCGTCAAACAGAATGGCGTCCGGTAGATGGAACGGGGGGTTGCTTTTCGAAGCACCGTGTGTGCGTGGTAACGATGCTTCATCCTTCATCCTTGAGCAACCCCGCGCCATCCTGTGGGTGTTAATAGTTTGGCTACCCCAATGTCGAAGCACGACTGACTGGCACCTGTGGTAAGCCAATTGTAGACGTAGGGTCGCGTTCAGCGCAAAAGCGGCCACCGCTAAATTCTCATCCCTAGAGTAGTCGGGACATGCTTGTCGTGTGTCAGGCATCTAGAAATCCAAAGGTTCCCACATTTTTTCTCTTTTTGAGCAGAAGAACAAATGCAACTCCATCTTTGCACTTCGCACTGCAGATGGAAGGCGGCGAATGCGTTGATCAGGTCGTGCGGGGGTGCTTCAACAATGGAACTTGCGTGGCCCCGGATGTTTGCGAGTGTGCCGAGGTAAAACCCGATGTTGAACATCGTCCTAGGTCGATGCAAAGACATGAAACCGACACTGTTGCCTTGGAGGGTGTTTATGACTCCAGGAATACAGGGTAACTTGCGCACAGCCGATGCTGGTTCGATTCATCCTTTTACCCGTCCGCTTTCTCCAGCAGCAGGTGCCCCACTTGCAGCGATACGCCCGCAACTAACACGTAATCTGCCAATTAAAACCAATTAGTTATCGGATCGTCACTTAATGCTGTCATCGGGTGATATTTTAGCTGGGATCTCAATTGGCGGCGCCTCCCCGCCCACCTTCCCGAATCTTGACTTAGTCTGTCATCACAATTTTCACGTCCACGACTATCCGCGACGACGACGATGACATCGGCATGCACACGCCCACCCCCTTCACTTGTTTTGGTCGACAAACACCATAATTCAGGGGTGGACAGGTTACGATTGCTCGGAACCGGAGTGTCCCACCCCCTGCCAGCACCAGGGAAACTGCACGTTACCCGGGGTTTGCACGTGTGCGCCGGGCTGGACCGGGGAGTACTGTGGGGTAGCAATATGCGCACAGGTATGAAGACACGAACAGGAGCTTGGTATAAACATATTTATCTTGGTGATTGGGGTGGAAGGAACGAGTTTACGCGACACGTCGGTACCATAGAACGGTACTGCATTCTAGTACATATGCGTTCCAGGCACGAACAATGTTGTCACATAATCTCCAGGATATCCGGGTCACAATACTATGCCTTACGACGAGCGGCACAACTTGGCATTGTGGATGGGCGCAAAAAGCATAACAAAACTTGAAGACACACTCCTCAGGACTGGTACTGGTGCGCCAGTACATGGAGCAGACACACGAAGAAAACGAGCCACGTTGGGCATCGTTTACTTCACCTCGCTCATCGATCAAGAAAAGATGGTCGTGCGCTCCCATCACATGCCATGCGAGACAGCTACCCTGCATCGTGGGCTAGGCGTGATGTGATCCTACCCACCTCCGGGTGGAATCACGTCGCACAAGACAGCCTCTTGCCTGCCATGTACACGGTTGTGCTCTTCAAGGCTATTGGCATCGGGATCCAAACCAAGCCGAAACCTTCGATGGTCGACCTTGCCCTTGAAATTAAGTGAAAAAACACTTGCTATGTAGATGTCAGGGCGCCCGTTCCTTGAAGTGAAGTTGAAACACGCGCGGGCGGGAAGTAGATTTGCGAATGGTTGCCAGGTGTTGAAGCACCGTCGGAAACTCCTCTGAAATAATCGGGATCGCTTGGTGCAGGATTGCAACAACGGCGGTACATGCGTAGCGCCGGACGTCTGCAAGTGCGCCCGGTGGGACAACGCCTTCAGGGACGGTAGGGAGGCCGGCGGGAGGCCGCTGTTCCTCAAGCCTAACGGGGACCCCCAACAGACGGGCTGGACGGGGTATGACTGCTCCGTGCCGATATGTGTGCAGGTGGGGATGACTACGTTCAGGGAAGTTGTAGGCAGCATGTGTGTGTGTGTTTTCGTCCTGTTTATTATGGCGACAGTCCTCCCATTTTTCGTGGTGAGACGTATACTACACTTTTCAGCGTATGTAGAGTACTACACTTTTCAGTGTATTTTTCGTACAACTACAACCATCCAGGGTCACACAGGAGGGGGGAAACATCAGGGCTTTATTATTCTTTTTATTACTTTTCATGTCCCACCTTCCTCCTGCGGTGCGTGCTGAATATTTTTTTATCGCGAGAAGGGTCCAGCCGTCTCTTTCCCTCGTCAACGGTGCTGGCAGCATGCACTGCGTAGAATACGGCCGTGTGTACATCCACGCTGGAATTGAAATCTTGAGTTCATCCGAAGAACTCAATAGCTGTGACGGTTACGCAAGCCAGTTTGAAGAAGAGTGAATGGCGGGCTCGACGAGCGCTCTTTCGTTCGGTATAAGATGCTCTGCACTCTGCAAGACGCTTTCGTCGACGATGGCAATGTCATGACATGTTGTCGCCTCCTACTCCTTGAGACACTTCGCAGTACCGCCACCAAGTCCAGCACGAAGAACATAACACGCCGCTGCACAGCAAGGACACCGTGCCTACAGAACCATATTTCAACTACAATTTTCAACGTTCGTTTCGCGAGGAAAATGGTCAAAGTCGTTGGTGGTCGTCTAACAATTCCCTGCAGGCTGAAGAATTCATCTTAAACGTGGAGGACGACACCTCGAGCGGCTACTCAGCACTCAGCGGGCATGGGTTTGACGGTACCTTGACCTGCGGGCTCGTGCGATGCCCAGAGTACGACGGCACGTACGTCACCAACCTCGGCACAAGGTATGAATAAACGGCACAAATTTCCAACTCCTGTGCGGCCAGCGATCCACCCACTTCCATCAGTGGCTAGATATCTCTCGATCAAGCGCCACAAACAACGGGTCCCGGGGAATGGAGAGGTAGACATTGACAACCGCACACCACTTGGGGCAGCTGCTGATCCTTCTGAGTGCGGCATACGGCGTGGAACCTGGGTGATTTCGCCTGTCCTCCCTACTTCAGTCAAAGTCTTGTCGAGTGCTTTCGCATCGTGTGTTCCATTTTTCGATTTCCTTTGACCCACACAAGGCGTGGTAGTTCAAAGCACGCCTTGTTTGCACGTGCAGATACTAGGCGCGTTTTTACCGCTGCGTATGTTCTCAACACGTCGCTCTGTTTCCCAACCGTGTGTGTGTGACATGTGACAATCGGTTATGCGCTACCGTGCTTCAACGCACATACATCGGCGGGCGTGATGCGCAGCTTCCAAACCGGGTGCGGCAACGACCCCCTCGACAGCGGGTGCTGCTACTGGGATGCCTCCGCGTGGTCGTGCGAATATTGCGAAGATTTTACCGTGGCAGATGACACGTGAGTGACTCGCGGGTACACCGGTAGCCAGAGGTACCAACAAAGCGACGTCGGAGCAGAGAACGTGGGGTAGACAAGAAGAACATCGAGGAGAGAGAGAGAAAAATCTGTGTATGGCCACAATAGAATCAAGGGACAAGACCGTGACAGGGCGGAAGAAGCAGCCGGAAAAAATAGTGGTGTTGTTCGAGGTTGAAGTTGAAAAGAATAATCATTCAGGAACTACTGTAATTCCGGGTAGCAATTGATGAACGGCTTGGGAGCCGCACCCAATCTCAAAGATTGCGTGCAATGCTAAGCCCCCTCACCCCCCCGGCTACAATCGTTTTGGTATCAGCTTCCAGTGCACCGGCAGCATATCGACAGAAGTCTACACGGACATCGACGACATCCCCTTGAGATTCATCGCCTCCGACGGCGGCGTCGCTCTTTGCGGGCCGGACCTTAGCCCCCTACCCCCGGCGGTAAACACCGACCCCACTCGAGACGACTGGTGGTACAGCAGCCACAACCTCGAGAGTAACGTCACGTCCGGCAGGTGTATGTTTGAGTCTTCTGTCGATATCGTGACACTTGACAAAATCCCTGGGCATCTATTCTTGAGGCTTATGTTCGTTTCACAGGCAATTCCAAGCTCTAGTGCTCTTTTAAATTCACATGCAACGTATTAGTGTGGGTCGTGCAATAGCGCACGTTCGTCCTTCCACCATCGCAAATAAGTACTCGCGTACCCACCTAACCCACATGCTGGAATCCATGTACCGCCCTCAGAACTTCTCACCCGCGCGCGCTTGCTCAGTGCAGGTTTTTGTGCGGGCGGCTCGGGTGGACACAGGGCGATTTCTTCGACGACGCCGGCCTGGGATCAGGGAGTGGTTTTGGCACCGACTCCGGCCTCGCCTCCGGCAGACACCTGCGCTACAACTACGATAACTACACCAAGGTACGCAGATGGGCGCTGTGATCAGAGGGGTACTCAGGTATTTTGGGATGGCTTTTGCCGGCTTGTCGTCATCTTGATCCGGGAGCCTTTACCCTCTCGGCCGTGTTTGTGTGGATTGACTCGTACTTTCTCTTTCTGCCGTTTGGTTCAACCGCCCCCGTTTCCTACGGTCGGTTCTACCATGACATACGTAGACGCAACGCAACTATTCTGTCCGCGATACCGTTGTGCCGTGACTGACGATGTCATCTGCACGTTTCTACGATGTAAGTTTCTATGTTTGTGGGGGTGCCTTTTGATGATCGCCATCGAGGACCCCTGCCCTGTGCGGTGCCGCCTCATCGCGTTAAGTTGCTCCTCCTGCATTGTTTCGCTCACGGCACGTCATCCCCCGGTTTGTGACCACGGGTTGCTTTGTTGGCGACAAGCAGATTTGCTACCGTAACACGACTCCCTTTTCCCGGCCACCCACCCCACCTGTGCTCCCTCCCTTTCTGCACGGTATACTGCAATGCTGCTGTAGGTGGACGATGAAACCTGGGTCCAGGGAGCCGTTACACCAGGAGAAGGGGTCTACCGGTGTCACAACGGCGGCAGTTGCCTGGCGCCCGACACGTGCTCATGTCCCGATGGGTGGGACGGCTACGACTGCAACACGCCTCTGTGCAGGTACAGATGACTAATCCGCGAAATGGAGACGGTGAAAGTGTGGCGTTGAGGATTGTTGTCCAGGAGAGAGAACGTGTCGACACGATGTGCCATTGACGGACAGTACTGTACGCGGGTCGTTTGGGTTCGGTTCAAGTTAGTTCTTCGTCGTAGGGTTTGGGGAACGATGGGTCCGGGTAAAAGTGCCTAGGTGATCTTCACGAGATCAAGCACAAAATTCAACTCGTACATTTTAAAGCACTTTCAAGAAGACGCCACACATTGCCTTCGTTGCTATTGCCTTTGACACGAGATGTGGAAGCGACCAAAAGTAATGTAAAATCACCCGACAAAATAAATGAGCAAATTCAGGAGCGTCGGAAAAGATTGGTGCATCTGAAGATTTTTGTTCAGCACCAATGTGAGAAGCTCTTACTGCCATAATGCGCCGAGCAGAGACTTGGTCGGCTTTGAGTGCACGTGTACCGTATGCTGCAACCTCATGCCTCTCAACCGGTATAGGTCTTGGCACAATTGTTGCCTTTAACTATCGCCTTTGCCATCGCTCACCACACGACTCCTCCGCAAACCCAACCCCAGGCATTTGCAACCTTCCGGAGCTGTATCTAGTTGCCAGAATGGAGGTATTTGCTCGGCGAAGGACGATTGTGCGTGTGTCACGGCCGACAGTATGCTATGGCAGGTATTTGGCGTACAACGCAAAAGAAGCGCTCAAGACGATCGTGGAGTACTGCAGTCTGGTACCGCATGTAAAGCTATTGCCCGGACTCCGTTTGCGCTGTACTTGTCGACGTGCCCACATGCTGAGCGCCACGCACCTACCACGCAGCATCTCAAATGTAGCATTTCCCCCCTTCAATGGCCCCAAGTGAATAGTCCGTCCGGAAAACCTTTTTAATACTGAATGCTAATTAGTGGGAACAAACCCGCTGCTGTGGGGAGCAATCCAGTCTATCATGGACTATCTGCGTGTGTACGCGCCCACTGACCTTTGCCCATTCGGGGATATTAGATCATTGGGTGTCGAGGGCCTCAAAGGATTCGGGTGATGTAGACCCCTCCCCCGGGAAGGTTGCCCGCCCCAAAACCAAATACAAAAAATAGCGTGCAGGCAGAGACTTTGCGCACAAAACTGATGAAGACGATGACCGTGAGCCTCAAACTCTACCTTTATTCTCCGGAAACCATCGGGAAAATGGCGGATGCCCGCGAAACAAAGCAACAGAGGAATCTGCTGGATTTTAATGCCAGAGGAATATATTCAAACACCTGCCTAGAACAGAGTTTCTGGGTGCCAAGTGTGTTGGGCGGGGCAAGGGGGAATACGTCAGTCACTCAGGATTTCTCATGAGTGAATCTGGCAATAGAAATATGCATGCAAACCGGGCGGACTCCATCGCGATGGATAACCTCGAGACTACTAGAGCCAACTAGCGATAGTACGCTTCACCCGGGACTACAGGTAGGGTTGGTGTTGGTGTTGTTGTTGTTGGTGGCGAGTGTGGTCAACAAGGAATGAGAGACACAATCGATGAGCCTTTTCCCGTATTGGTGCCTGCCAAACTCTCAGTCATTCAAGACCGACCACCGACCAAGCTGAGAAAGACACCCAATCGATGAGACTTTTCCTCTAATGGTGCCACTCAAACTCTTCGCAGTCAATGCCTTGTCCTTGTCGACCGCTCCGGTTGGTTTCTCTCCCCCCACCGGCGTAACCTCACCAATTGGGTCTGCGTCAAATATGCTGGTCTACATGTTTGTGCGACCACAAGCATACGCACTGGTCGTTTGGCCAGCCATGTACAGCAGTAGTACTTACGTGCGCGAGGGTGAGATGGATATTGAATAGTATGGCGTGGAGTTGGTGTTGGTGTTGTTGGAGGTGAGTGTGGTCAAGGGTGAATGACAGACCCTGCAGGTGGAACAAATTCTCACACTACAATACAGTCATGGGGCGTTGTTTTTTCGATCGGCGACTCATGGAACAATCGACACAACCGCCGAGAGCTTGGGAAACCCCACTGGAACAAATATGTCCTCCTCTCGAAGAAAGCGGTACTGCTTTAGTCTTTACAATGGATTCCCCCCTGATTTTGATTTCCTTGTAGCCCTGAAACCTCGAGTTGGAATGAGTCACCAACCGCTCATGACGCAACATCAACGCGCCCACCCTCTCATCGACTGAACAAAGGTGTACGAGGAAGCGAACCGAGACATCACGGGCTGGACCGGCACGGATTGCTCCATGCCTATGTGCGCGCAAGGTTTCTTTGATCCCTTCTGCACCGATCTGCCGCAGGCGCCAGGAGGGGAGGTGCGCGAAACGACGGACCGATATTAGTGCCAAACGTTGTTGCTGCTGCGCTACGACAACATGCTTTTCTGTTCCGTCTAAGACGGTCTATTCCGGGGCGTTTAACCCTGAAATAACACTGCTTGAAACGCGCCCCCAGGAATTGAAACGCTCTGCCTTACAGGCGAGTTATGCATCATGCTATTTCTTGGATCGAAGCAAGGTGCCAGAATACGAACTTGCTTCCCAATTCGAAATGAGCCTCCTCATGTTGCCATTTATGTGCCGGGTTGAGTCAATGATTTCCAGGGATGTTTCCGTTGTCCCAACGGAGGGGTGTGTACGGCGCCCGACCACTGCTCCTGCGCGGATGGGTGGACCGGATACGACTGCAGAACTCCTGTTTGTGAGGTGGGACATCGACTGAAGCGACAGGGCTTCCGTTTGTTGGTTGGTTGACCTCATGTATCTGCAATTCGACGTCCACGGGGGATACCCGGCATGAATGCCCATATTCTTGTGAGTACGTTGTTTTCCGGGGAAAATCCTGCAGTTATGGAAACGAGGATCGATCATGGGCAGTGTCGCGGCGGGGAACCATTGATCTCTCGTTCTCACATCCCGACTACAGTAGTACTCTATTGGCGTGCTTTTGGCGGTAGATACCTCTGTTCGGGCATGATTCTCGATGACAAGAGCAAAATATGGCGCAAACCTGCCGAGGAAGGACCGTACCCGAATATGTTTTCTGGTTCGCGTCACTTAATCTTCGTTTTTTCAAAGGTGGTAGCGGACGACTTATTGCGGGTGCAGCTGAACACGATGGACGAGGAAAGAGTAGTCGCGTTCGAAGCAGATCCTTGTGCGATGGTGGAACGGTATGCTGCGGTGGCGTACAACGGGGCTAATTACAACAGGTACGATCCTACGTAGCCCTTTCTCACATGGTAGGTAGACTACATATGGAATTGCTGTACATCACGGCATTCTCCATGGCCATCCAAGCACTATTACCACGAGCGCATTAAGTGCATCTTGATGTTCGACCCAGTCTAGTCCACCGTCTGTGGTATATGTGTGGAGCACTCACGACATCGACAATGTCACTCTGTCTAAAAGAGTCGTTCGGACGTGTCACGACGGAGTAGTAGGCGGTGTGTCGGCCTTATAGTTCGAAGGTGTGGTTTCTTGACAGCATGTTCACTTGTTCTCCACATGTCTTTGCGTGTTCCCATGTGGCGACACCAACACCTCAAGGGGCAATTGCACCGCACCCAACCAGTGCACGTGCACGTGCTGGACAGAGTTCGACGTGGACGATTGTGAAACGTTCCAGGAAAACTGCGATGGGCCGTGGCAGGTGCGCGCTTACAACTTGACGATGAGCTGCAGTTGAAATATAGTTCTGGCCAGAGACACCAAGGTCGCTATTTACGTTGTCGACCACCAGCAGACGAACTACAGTGCACTCTTTTTTTCACTCAGCAGGAAGGCTAGATTGAGTACGTCGAGGATCGCTGTCAGTGACCACACCACATTTGTCAAGTACTCCCAATATTTGTAGTCGTACGATAATCTGCAGTGCATCGTGGGCAGTGCCCCTGCTTTGTTGAAATTCCGTCATCGTTCAAATGATAATCAACGCAACACTCGCGCACATCACCCCCCAGGATCCACTGGTGCAGTACAGAGACGTGCTACCAGTGACGTACGCCTTCGGAACGGGAAGGTGTCTGAGCGGCTATGAGGGGATAGTTTCCGATGACGACCGATTCTTGACATGCCACTACAACATCTTCGAACCTAGCTGGCTGCAGCGGAACTCCATTCCTCTGATCGTGGGGTGAGTAAGGGACGGGGTCCAATCTCCTCATGCTCATGAACGGTGTTGTCTTCAGAATGCTCTGGAATCGACCACTTGCTATTAGGAAACATAAATACAAACACAGGAAGACTACCCATTCGAGATAAGACCACAGTCCAACGGGATGTGTTGAAGTCTTCACCGTGAATGGAGGGAAACCGGCTGGGTACTGGGCTTTTTTGGAGTCTGTTTAAGCCTATACACTGAAAGTTTTCGATCAGTGATGCCAACAGGTGCTAATCACAAAATCACTGTATAGGTACAAATACCACAAGACATCTCCCCCGTGTTGTTCGCTACCTACGGGTCAACGACAAAAATATCGGGGAGAAACCCTCCGTTTCGTCGTGTGTTGTAATAGTCTGCATTCACAGGATCACGTCGCAGTGTCTCTTGACAACTTGCTGGATTTTATTTATATCTGCAGTTAATCTACGATGCACGGCGAAACTTCCAAATAAATCGAGGCGGATCAACTCCTCTGTGTCTTGCTCGGCGCCCGGAAAGCTTAGAACAAGCTTAGGGGAAAAGCCGAAACAACAAGAACAATCACAACATAGCGTGCAATGAGGCTAGCAAATAACACGCATTCGAACATGTTCAGGAGTGCCATAAAGTTTTTAGACACGCTCACGAACCTCCATTTATTGTCGCATCGCTCCGTCTCTTTGCGTACTGTTCATTCCGGCATGCGCAGAGGAGCACTGTTGGCGTTTTTCGGTTCCATCGTGTATTTCATCGTACGCCAACGGTTGAGGCGGCGGTTCCTCCGTGCCAAGATAGAGAGAAGGCGGTCCCGGCGAAGCTCGGAGATGTCACAGCTCTCTCAGCAGCCTCACGCCTTTGCGCATCGGGGTTGATCGATGTAGAGATGAAGTAGGATGCTGATGACGTGACCAAAATATATCGTTTCGTTTTGTCGGACGTCGAAGAGTCGACACACATACCTTTTGAAGCACGGATACAAATGACACCTATCTATCTTGAGTAATTAGCCTCACACCCTAACGAAGTCAGTGAGCGTTCACCGTCGGTCTTCTCGGGGCAAGACATTATTAGAAGTGTATAGTAGTTCAGAGATTTTGTGGACTATCTGTAATCATATTATTCGTATAGTCTATGCGGATCATACTTACTTGCGTCTCTTCACTTTTCCCACCAAAGAGCGCCCCTTTAGAGGTCCGCACAGCAGTTGATTGAAGCCCTCTTTTACACCTCCCGTGGATTGTCATCGCGCGACAGGGAAGCAGTGAACCATTCCTTCGAAGTACGTGCAACCACAAGGCTACCTTTTGATCATTTATTTGGTTGTTCGACGGACATTTACTGGTGGAACGGCCCTTGGGTCGCCCAAAGGATGTGCTGTTGTTATTGGACGACCCATGGACCGCCCATGCGCATCATGAGCCAATAAGGTTGTGTCCTCACAAAGACGGGTCTTATGTGTTAAGTTTGGGTTGTGGGGACGCAATATTGCCGCCCTTGGGTCGACAAAGGGAGGCTGTTCCCAATGATACCACCCACAGGGCCACCCATTGAACGTCGGATAAGAGAGAAGACAGGTCATGGCGCATGACAAACCATGAACCTAGGGTGCGTCGCATGTCTGGCAATGGGCGGCCGATGACGACTCAGTTGTGGCCCATGTGCGGGCGGTCGATGACCCCTGACGACCCTGACCGCCGTTGAAAAAGACATAAAATAAATGTCGATCGACATTCCTTCATTCATCAGTGTCGTTGTGATGGACTGCAGGAGGGTCAGGATGAGGGTTAGATCAAGGGCGAACAGGCCAGTAGGCGGGGCCGTGCGACATCGTCCGTCCAACGTGTTTCGATCAGAGCGAAAACGGCCCAGGGTCAAGCTACAAATGGTCCAGCATGGGACAATGCTTCATGCGCCGCACATACGACGTTCCGTTGGCGGCGCAAAAAATGTTGTTCTTCCTCTCTCCCACTTCTTCATTTGTCGACCCCATTGGGAAGACAACAACAACAACAACAACAACAACAACAACAACAACAACAACAACAACAGCAACAACAACAACAACAACAACAAAAATAAATAATATATGTCAACACAGTGTTTGCCCGAAAGAACTCAAGCGTTCGCCTACTGGGACCTGCTGTGATCTTTCAGGCGCCGGGTCTGCATATTGTCATTTTTTCTCCAAACTTTGTCGGGGGTAGCGTTTTTCCCTCGTCAAATTGACCTTTCCCCTTACTCTAACAGTAGCCTTGCCAGGCCCTAGCAACGGCCTCCGGTGCACCATGGCAGTGCCGAGTGACGTACAGCGTTGCCGATGACGGAGACGCGAAGATGAATCGCCGAGAACAGCGAACTTTGTTACCATGTAATGAAAAATGTTTCACCCAACGATTTAGTAACGTCCGGCATTCACCCCGAATTCTGTTCCGACCGAAGTCTGTAGAGGAAGCGACCGAAGTTGATGTTGTCGCAAATGTCGCTTCTGGAACTTGTACTTGTTTTCAGCCTTGATCACTTCACAGCTTAGTGTAGAGTTACGATGTTGGGGGATAGTTGGGAGGTAACCTGGTGGCGCTCGCAACACCTCGTGATCTCGCTACAATTACAATCGTCTGATCAACAATCAATTCATTCACGAGCTCCCTCGCTTCGTGTTACGTCCTACCAAACGTCGTATTTCCGCATCTACTGTATGTATCATTACACAGACATCTGTTTGGAACGGCACGAAGGCGTAACCGCCTGCAGACGACGCTTGGGAAAGGGGCCTAGACACTATATACATATTTTTCACGAACTCCGGCCGTCTACATAGTCTAACCCTACCGGTCGTCCCGGTGGTCTAGTGGGTTACCTCGCAGCCTGCTAAGGGCTAGGTCATGGGTTCGAGTCCCGGCAGAGTGAGTATTTTTCTCTCTAAATAAATCCTGGTCTAGGATGAAAGCGACGTCCTGCAAAGCTCGTTGTTAGTAAACCATAATCGACTTCGTGAGTCGCGAGGGAAGGGATTGCTGTACCCTTCTCGCGACAAAAATACCTCAGGCAGGAACCACAGGAGGGGGTCCAGCCCCCCCCTCCTATGTGACCCCGGTTGGGTCGTCTAGCTAGTAGAAGTGGAGGATAGGGGCCAGAGGGGCAGACGACAGAGTTCAATGATAGGAGAAAAAAAAAATCGCCACTTCACTGTGCGCCATTAGGTGCTTGAGGAGAGGGTTTATACTCTATGCCCGAGAAGGAACGAACGCAGAACTAGATTCCACTGCAGACAATCAAACGACAAATAAATATCCTGGCCCGGGAAAAATTGCAATGGGGCTTCCCTGATGCATTGATGCAAGACATGCAACATTGCGTTTCACTTCTCTGTGTCGATGGTTTTCACAAGCAGTGTTGCAGACTACTCTCTGCGTCCCTCTCTAACTTGTTGTATGTGGGCACATCATCCCGTCCTTGTTCACACTTTCGCATACCAAATGCCGGACCGTTCTCTGTTTTTATCGGGGGCCTCGCTCGGTGGCGGATTGTTTCAAACAGTGTCGTTTGAAATAGTTTTCGATCGGTTCGAACAACTTCGGTTCTCTGGTCATGCCGTAGATTTACAAACATCCAAAAGTCGAACAAGCAATACAATCATTCGGTTGACCGAGGAATACAAACGAGTGATTTGATATTGATTTTTTCCCAAACGGATTCCGATAAACTTTTCGTCAAGGTCAGGAAGTCATGTCTCTGCCCTATTCCCTCGTTTTTTCGTGTTCGATCGTCAGAGTTCGAAAATAATTGATATCTCGCAACACTCGGCCTCCGATGGACGACGACGAAAACTTGGTTTGTTGCCTATTAGAGCATCGGCACCACCACCATCAACGACAAGGTTCATATCCGACACAGAGCCACGTAAGTGCCTCTCAGGGTAAAAATCGAAGGACGGCACACGGCACGAACGACACACAGAGCAACGCGCACATGCGCACAAAATCCCGCTGGGTGTGTTTTCAAAGACGATGCGTACCTGTGCACAACAACCGCCGACATTCACTACTTTTAGTCGAGCGATACACACGTACGTATGGTTCCTTCGAAGGCGCTCCCCCCGCACCCGCAAGCGCCTTCGACACCCCGCACGTTGTGTGTCCCTGGTAATACACTGGCCCAGATCCGGATTCGGATCTGCAGATCCGGATCTCAGTCCACCATGCATTGGTCGACATTCCGTCTTCCACGTTGGGCCTGCGACGTTGTCAACGATGCAGCCGAGGGTTTTTTATGGAAGGGTGCGCAGAAATGGGCTCTCAAGGACGACCGAGCCCTCTTGGAGGCTCCGCGTCGCGTGGTCCTGATTCTCCCGGTAACGGTAATGGGTACTATTGCCGAGGCTGCCAGGGAGGGGTATCTTTGCTTGCGGGCCAAAGCGATTCGCCGAAGACACTTCGAGGCTCTGGGATGACGCACCCGCTCTCGCAAAGAAGCACGGCAAGGAGGGTGGAAGACGCCAGTTCGATCAGTGCATGGTGGACGGAGATCCGGATCTACGCCAGGCCGTAACGCGTGCGGTGGAGGAGGCGAACGCGGAAGGACCGCACGCGAAAGAGTCGTGTGTTGCTCGACCAAATGGTACTAGGAACCGCTCATTTTCCGAGCAACAATTACATAGTTTGGTTCTTTCGCAGGCGCTCCTACGAACTCGACTGCACCACCGGACACTTTATCCTCTCGTTAACACCCTGGCGCAGATCTAGATCTCCGTCCACCATGAACTGGTCGAACTTACGTCTTCCATGTCGGCCCTGCGACCATGTGGATGCAGCCGAGGGTTGGCTCTCGAAGGTTGCGTATAAACACGCTCTGGATGGTGACCGAGCCTTCGTGGAGGCGTTAACCCGTGGTGGTCAAGGCGGGACAGAAAATGAATTGCTGGGAGAGTTTTCTATGCCGCCTGGACCATCACGGCATATAGCCTCCAAGAAGGCTCGGTCGCCCTCCAGAGCGTGTTTCTCCGCAACTTTCGAGAACTAACCGTCGCGTTTATCTTCCACGTCGCCGGCCCGACGTTCAGCGTCCAAGCACCTCCCCATGGATTCTTTCTGTGGCACTCGCGAGCTTTGGCGAAATGCTCTCGTGAGCTGCCTTCGCCCTCACCTTGGCGTAGCGAATCTCACACAACAGCTGTTGACGTAGAACCGTAACCCTTGCCCCCCTGTTGACCTCATCAATACTAAAAGGAGTTGACATTGAACCGTAACCCGTGCTCGCCTGTGTGCCTGATCAGTTGTTTGTGTGCGTTAGGGTTCTGTAGGTCAACTGAGGAGGTCAACAGGGGGGCAAGGATTGCGGTCCTATGTAGTAAGTCAACAGCTAGATGTGTGAACTTCGCTACGCCTAGGAGAAGGCGGACGCAGCTCACGAGGTAAGTCGGTGAGCTTCACGCTCACAGGCAAGCGCACACTCCTCCTCCACTCAATGCCGTACTCTGCAGCCAACTCTTCGGCAAACCTCTGCTGCGAAATCCTCAACAGCCCTCTCTCTACGTCTCTCTCGTAAAAGCACGCGGAGTACCACCTCAACTCTCCAAGGTTTTTCACTGGCACCATCTCGTTAAGGTCCCTGCCAAACTGATCACACCTCTCCTTCTGCCCTACAGCAAAAATGTCATCCACGCGGACCACGATGATCATGATCACACGTCCCTCCTACATCAATCGAAAAACACACGCATCTGCCAGACACTGCAAAAAACCTAAACGTAACAAACACCTCGTCAGGTGCGAATGCCAATATCGTGATACCTGCTTCAAACCATACAGACTCTTGCATAGCTTCACGATCAAGCCAGATAACCTACCACACCCCTGCGGTAAGCGCATGAAAACATCCTCATCAAGGTCCGACTGCACAAATGCCTGCTGAATATCGAAATGGCACAAGTCAAGGTTCTGTTCACATGCCAATGCTGCTAACAAGCGCACACAAGACACTGATATGGTGGGTGCAAACAATTCTCCAAAATCAATCGAAGCCCTCTGCATGTCCCCCCGCGCTACAAGTCTTGCCTTGAATTTCGTCGGCCATCCATACTCGTCTGCCTTACAGTCAAAGACCCACTTGGCGTTAATGGAGTTCTCTACTGGTTGCTACACTGGGATTGCGTGAAAGGTGCCTGCATCTAGCAATCCATAAAACTCACGATCTACTGCATCACCCCACAACTCTGAGTGCAAAGACCGCATTGCCTCGTTGAACGTCTTCGGCTCGCGGAGGTCGCTGGCCATGCAGTGCGGAAGGTCAGGCATCTTGTCGGGCGGGCGCTCGGCGCGAAGTGCGGCGTCCACATCCTCACGGGTGGCGAACATCGTTGCGAACATCTGCGGTCTCCCCCCCCCTCCGGAATCCACGGGCCCCCCAGCTCCCACAGCCCCCCCGCTTCCACGGCCTCCAGGACTCGGATCCGGCTGCGGCGGGGGCGGTAGGTCGCGGCGTCCTTGATCCACGGCCTCCCGGGTGGCGAGCGACGAGATGAGGGTGTCCTTGTCCATCATGTCCAACAGCTCAAGGCGGTGGTGGAGAGCGGTGCCGCCACCGGGTGGCGACGGCGGTTTTTGTTGCTCATCCATGAACCGCACTCCATCGCCGCGTGTGCGGCCGTGAACCCTCGTGTCCTCTCGTCCCAACTCCTTGACGGCTCGTTTCGAAAGCGGCGGGTGCGGAGGAGCGGGGACGGCGGCGCTGGCGGGCTTCGGCGGCGGCGGCGGTAGGCCCGGGGGCGAACGGGGCGGAGTGGCTGCGGTCGACGGCGGGGCTGAGGATGGTGCGACGGAGATCGGCGACGGCGCTGAAGATCCTGTGAAGATCGACGGGGGAGGGGGCGGCGCTGCGGTGGTCGCTGGTGCAGGGGGGTAGTACGTCCATGTCCGCGGGGGCGGCGGCTGTGCGGCATCGGCCGCAGGTACGGCGGCGGCCGGCGAGGGCGCCGCGGTGACCGAAGAACCCCCCCCGATGGCCGGCACCGGCGCCGGCGCTCCTGCCCGGCGGTTGACCCACACGACGTTGTTGGTGAGGGCGAGGCGACCGGTGTCAGCGCGAAGAACGACGGCGGTAGACGTCGAGTGGTTGTTGGCGCCGTGCAGGTAGAAGCACCTCGCGGATTGGACGTCCGCCTTGGTGGCCCGCTTCACGCGCATCCTACCCTCCTGGAAAAAGGGGACGACGGTGAGGGGCGGCTTCCGGCCGAAGAAGGCCTCGAACGGCGACATCCAGCCCTGATTGGCCTTCGTCGCGGAGCGGTTGAAACAACCGGATGCCCAGAGCGCCGACGAGAGCCACAGGCGTTGTCCGTTGGCGCCGATGTTGGGGACGGAGGCGAGGTCGACGTGGGCCATGGAGAGGATGTGGCGTCGCGCGGCGTGGCCCCCCTTCATCGCACGCCAGATGGCGCTCTCGGCGACGGCGTTTTGTTTGGGGGTGTCGGGCGCGGTGTACTCGCGCCGGATGCCAGCGGCGTCGCAGAACTCGATGAAAGCGGCGCCGGTGAACTCGCCGCCGTTGTCCATGCGGAAACATCCCGGAGTGCCCATGCCGTTCATGTCGGCCAAGAAGCGCTTCACGTACTTCAGGGTGTCGCTCTTCGCCCGCATCCCGTACCCCCGTTGCCACCGCGATGCGCTGTCCACGAACATGATCAGGTACCGGGAGCCGTCCATCGCCTCGGTGAACGGGCCCGTGAGATCGATGTGGACCTTGCCGAACGGCACCGCCGCGCGTGTCCCACGCCGCGGCACCGGGGCCCTCCTGCCCTTCGCCTCTACACAGCCAACACATGGCTGCAGCTCCCCGACCAGCCGAACACCCTGCTGCTTGGCAGTCTCACGCATCAAAAATTCATTTACGTGGCCGGTGGAAGCGTGGAACAGGTTAATGTCGATGGTGGGCGTGGATTTTCCTACCGAAAATGGGGAAGCACCGGGGGCGATAATCGCCAACGCGTGGGAAAGAGACGGAGGGGCTGCGGCCTGCTGCTCATTGCACTCGGAAAGAAAACCGCTCAACACTTCCAAATCATCATGCTGCACAGTGAATGCAAGGTGGGGTGGATCCGCAGACTCAGCTAATTCAAGCGCATCAGGAAAAAAATCACCCGGGGGGACCGTGTCTTTGCCATCCATCAACCCAACATCCAGAAACATGCTCATGTCCATGATTGGTAATGCATCCTGGGAAAAAAGGGGGTTGATCTCTATCTCGCGAAAGTCTGTCAGCTCTACGGCAGGGGGAGACACAATCGAAGACGATTCTACGGCAGCCGTAATCACAGGCTGAAAATCGGGGATCGTCGTGGGGGTTGGGTCTACGTCGACGGACGGAAAAGCACAAATCGGAAGCACTACACCGGAAGTGGTAGAGGGGACGCTCGAACTCGAAGGTACTACACCGTCGGATCCGGTGGGCTGGACGTCTGCAGTCGAAGGTACAACGCCGGCCGGTGCGACGGACTGGAAGCCAGAAGTCGCAGGTACAACGCCGGCCGATGCGACGGACTGGAAGCCAGAAGTCGCACTCGCACTCGTGCCCGTTCCTGCACTCTGGAAAAGGGAAGGGGTGGCCGCAACAAATCCTGTGCCAATGCTAGGCGGGGACGCTTGGGCAGACACACGGGGAGGGGCATCGGGGCTAGAGGTCACAGCACGACCACAGTAATCCTGGGGCAATCGCGTAGCCCAGAGCGAGCATCCTACGTCAGAGTATGCGAAGGAAAGTCTACCATCAAAGAGATGTACACCTGTCTCGTCAAGGACGATCCGTTGCTTACGCTGCGTGTGGTGCAACGAAAACAAATTGAAAGTGATTCCGGGCACAACGTACACGTCCGACATTTGCACGCGAAAATCACGCTCTCCTCCCTGGTCTTGCATGTGGAAAGCCATGTTGACCTTCCCCACACATTGTACGCGCAAATAGGTACCGTTGCCAACCTGAATGTACTCTTTGCCTGTCGGCACTGGCCTCAAGTCGAACATTTGATGACTACTGCTCACAAAAGTGTTCGTCGCACCGCTGTCGGCCCAAAACTTCTCTCTACCAAAACGGGAAAGCGGGTTCTGCGCAGATAAAGCAAATCCATTACCACTCTCACGCTCGGTACTCGCTACAACACCACTCGGAATGATCTCGCCTGCAGACACGAAACGTGCCATCAAGAAGTGAAGGGAGCCCGGGGCCGGTGCTGCTGCTCCGGGAGGAGATGAGTGGGGCGGGGCATGAGTCGAGTGCTGCTGCAGCTGCGGCGGCTGCTGCTGCTGGAACGTCGGCGGAGGCGGAGGCTGTGGCGGCGGCTGCTGTTGCTCGTAGTAAGGCGTCGGTGGCGGGTAGTACGGCTGCTGCTGCTGGGTGTAGTCAGGCGGGGGCTGCTGGTACTGTGGCTGCGGCTGCTCCCAACCCCCATACTCGCTACTGTTTGCGGGCCCCCCGTAGGGCGTGGCACCGTACTCGTGGTGCATCACGTTTGCATGCCCGTGCGGGGGTCGCCATTGCTGCTGCTGCGGGTGAGGGGGGGGAGGGTTTCCATACCTTTGCTGCGCTCCGCGTCCGCCATGAGGTCCGTGCTGGGGTCCACCACCCCAGCCCCCCCCACCGCGGCCGCCTTGCTGCTGCTGCTGCTGTTGAGGACGAGGATGGTAGTACTGCTGTTGCTGAGGCTGCTGCGGATGCTGTTGTTGCTGCGGCGGCTGTTGCTGTTGCGATGATTGCTGCCGCCGCTGCTGGTTCCGCTGCTTTCGCTCCTTATCCCGCTGCTGTTGGTAGCACTCCGCGTTGGTGTGGTTTGACCGCGGATGAACGTGGCAACGCCTGTCTCTTCTGGTCTCGTCGCTCCTGCTCCGACCGTCGCCTTTGCCGTCCTGTCCGTCGCCGTTCCCACTCGACCCATTTGGGACACGTCCGTCGCCCCGGGGCGCACCGGAAGCGACGAAGGCGTGCCCCACGCCACTCTTTTGTTCCTCCTCCCGTGCGCGCACCAGGTCCGTGTGGGCCTCCTTCACGGAATCCTCAATCTGCTCAAAATTCAAATCAGGGGTGCGGTCCAAGAGTTTCTTCTCTAATTTGTAGTCGGATGACAGGGCGGACACCAAGTGGTCGTTTGCTTCGTTGTCGGGATACACTGTCCCGTGCGACGCTAGCCTACTCCGCAAAATAGAGAACCTACCGAAGTACTCTTGTGGGTTTTCACCCGCATGCATCGCGAAGCTATGGTATTCCTTCAAGAGTCTCTTCTTTTCTGCTTTTGCTTGGGGCTCATAATACTTGAGGAAAATCCTCCATCCCCCACTCGGGCTTCCGTCTGACACGATTTCAGACAAGATCGGCATGAATGAGATTGACGTGATGAGTAAATTCCACGCCACTACAGCCTTAGCTACCTTCTGATCGCCATACTCAGTCTTCAGGTTTACCATGCTGATGCCTTGCCTCCCTACTGGGATGTCTTGGTTGCTCATCACTACTTCGTGAACATCCTCCTGTGCAAACCGTGCTACCATGCTCGATCTGAAAATCAAAAGCTTTTGCTGCTTATTGTCCCCCGACTTAAACACACCATCCCAAGGCTCAATTCTTCTACTCTCAGTCATACGGAGAGTTGCAGGGTGTGGTACTGCACCGATATCCCCTGATGAGGTCTGGAGGCGACCGGCCATGGCAGTCGCAATCGCGTTGGCCAGCTCGTCTGCGGAGGGGTTGGGCGATGGGCCCCCAGTCGCTTGCTGGTGTGGTACCCCTTTTTCCTCGTTCCCGCTCCGGAGATCTTCTGTGCTCAGCTGCTCGGCTCGTTGCCGTACCTCCATCTCGGCCATCTTCTTGGCCAGTTTCTCCTCCATCATCTGCTCCATCCGAGCTGCTACTTTCTCGTTGACCAGTTCTTCGATCCTGACTTCCTCCGCTGCTTTCTCCGCTGCTTGGCGGGCTTCTTCTTCGCGCCTGGCGGCAGCCATCTTTACCCTGCTCTCGATCGCCGCAAAGCGATGCTCCTAAACCAAGCTCGACCGCGAATCTCGTAGACGACGTGTCACACGCTAAATAGCGTGATCGATGATTCGGGTGGCTCGATTCTTTGTGGTTGGAGCTCAAAGCGGGTGGCTCATGGCGGAGCGTGGATGGGTAGAAACGTGTTGAAAACGTGTTGCAAAGTATNCTGAACCTTCACCAAATACCTCTCGCAACCAAGGAATATATGTAGAAAGTTCCTATTCTTCCGCATCTCATCACTCACTGTAACTTTCGTACGTACGTACATAACATCTCAACCGTCATACTATGCTACGAGTACCCCCAACATATCTAATAGTGCCCTCATGAAGGCTTCGCGCCGTGGTGGTCCTGGTACGCACATTCTCTCGGCAATGGGATTGGGGGGTACTTTTGCTGGGTCTCGCCAATCTCGAGCGAGTCGCATTGGCCCGCAAGAAGCGTTGTCCATCCGGTAGCCCCGGCAGTACTGTAGTACACTTGATGCCCTCGCCGGAAGAATATGCGTGGTGCCACTCTGTTTTTGCTTTCTCGTTTCGGATTGTTGGTAGTACACGGGTGATACGATCGTGATACAGCAACCAAGTGTGGTTTACTGTATCAGCGCCTAGACTAGGTGACCACTCGGACCTGCGTCAACCGGCGTACCCGATGACAACACACACACGTAGTGGCTGTTTGCCACTGGCAAACTTGTTCTTCCCAAATAGTTACATGACACGCAACTGTTACTGCTGTTGGGTGACACGTTATTAACCGGCATACAGATAGCGCCCGCACTTGAGAACTTGGCAGTTACGAAATTGAGACTCGCAAAAAATCAGAAGCTAAGGACTTGAGCACCATTTGTGAGCTCGGCTAAGAACCCCACACTAAAACCTATAGTCTATCGCGGCCATTTGTAGCCCACAAGAGGATAATCAGCAAAATAAGAACCCCAGCCTCGGCCGAAACTAGAGGTTCTTAAGTGCGGGCGCCATCTGCACAGACATCTGGGCTGACGACAGTGTTTTCCGGCCAACCCAAGGCGACAAAGCGCCAATCCATGCACCGCATGATCATCAGGAAATACCCCATGCACCCAAACGAACACACATGTGCCACGAGGCTATAAACGTTGAGGCACACACAAACAGTGCCGGGAGGATTGCGCAATGCTGCATAGGTCAAGTGCTGCTGGACCACGTGGCAACGGCGGTATCCAACGGCTGTCTTTGAGGCAAACCACGGACGGACATGACCACGAGTACTACCTCGGACGATACGTGTTCCACCAAGAAGCCAGGAGTGCGTGACGACATGCTGCCGGCAGCCGACAGCGATCTGTTCGCGACCTCCCTATATAACAATGTATGCACAGGACTCACAAGGAATGGTCTAAAGTAGGCTTCACAATGGAATGCCATGGTAGACCTTACAAATATGCAGCCTCACACAGTCCTCCTTTTTGGGGGCAGACCACCCACCGTCTCAGATACACTCTACGGTGCTGCATGCTGATTGGCCAACAGTTTTTTCTACATCAGATGCACCGCGCCTCTGAACCCTCAGATCTCCGGAGACTGGTGCCGGCCGCAACGTGTACCAAAACAAGCCTCAGGGACACCAGCCAGCAGAAGCAGCAGCATGAGCTTGAGTCCATACGCCCGTCCTCTCCCGTATGGAGGGTGGGCTCTGTCCTTGACCATCTTGCTAGGAGGATTCTTTTGGGCCAGGGCGGAAGGAATTTCGGTAGCAGGCAGCAGCCACAGAGATGGCCAAGCAAACAGGAGACAGACGCAGGAGGGTGACGAGGAGGAACAGCCGGAAGAAACGCGCTCAGCACACCGCACGTCCTCCTCCGCGTACCAGACAGACCAGGAGGTGCGCGTCGTTCGAAATAGCGGTGCCTATGCTTAACCCAGGAATAGGGCTGGGTGGGAGGTGCCGCCCGCTTTGTCTCCACTACGGCTTTAGGTTCAAAAGTCAAACGGGCCTCTTCTCTGCTTCTACAAGTCACCCCAAACCCCAAACACCACCAACCCGCCGAAGATCCTGTAGGAAGGCATTGGGATACAGTGCTATTGAGCGTGTTGTCTTGCTTTGATGTTGTGCATATCTACACTTTTCCATCAACTTGCACTCAACCGATACAGCACTGCTGGAGCAGTCTAGAGCTGTACCCATCTCGCCGCTTCAAAACATGGAGGGTACAACACCTCAGCAGTACATCACTCTAGCTCGAGATATCTAATGTCATCTGCTACTGACTGTATATAGAGACATTTTGCAACCTCTACCATCGTGCGTTGGATGGGACGTCTGTGTACCCCTGCATAGAAAAATCGCTACTGTATTGTGCAAGCACAGAGAGGATGGACGGTCAACCCTTCGACGGGGTTTGTGCTATGTGTTCCGATCCTGGAATGCAGTGCAGCAGCATGGATAACTCCCTCCAATTTCACGATCAGATTCTACAATTGATCTATTGGGCTCATTCCGTGACCGGCTGCTGCCGCAACGTACTGCGTGTGTAAAGAAGGCGGTTGGTTGTGTCTGGATCCTATCCGCCAAACCCACCACAGGAGTTCCGACAACATGCAGGTGCAACTTCGTGTGTGGTTGTTTTCGTACCGCGCAACGCGTGGTCAGACCTGGGTTGTGGATGTACGACGGTCAAGGAATAACAGCTGCGCAAACTTGATTTAGTTGTACGCATACTTTAGTTGCTCTTTCCCTGCATCGGTCTGCGCGACAAACACACACAGGCGGACCGAGCACACCAGCAGCAGCAGAAATCGAGGCGAAGATACAGCAACCAGAGAAGCCTGTTCGCGAGAGTACGACCCACGCCATTGTCGCTAACGCCGCCATTACCGTGGCAAACGACAGCAGCAGCGGTAGATGGGGAGGAAACATACATTCGTCGAGATGCAGCACCCGCAGCTTTGTCGGGATTTTGCGCCGCGGCTGCGGCCGCTGCTGCCTCCAGCGCGACCCGAAAGCCGCACTTCAACCACGTGGTTGAACCGACGGACCGTTGGCGCTTGGAGAGAGAAGCGTTTAGGGTGAAGGTGCACGAACACGTTGACCGGGAGTTGGAGAGGATGGCTACACAAGCTGCAACCGCACTGGCGGTCGTCACCGAGGCAGAGGAAAGAGGTAGCGTAATGTAGAGCGGAGTTAGATGCCGGGGCAGGGCGCGGCGTCGACCTACACCAGTAACGAGTGGCACTTCATGTGGTTTGGTGGCATCAGTGCTTGTCCGCCCTAGGTTGCAGAAAAGAGTCATCAAGGGGTACAACGATGACGAGAGCAGCATCAGCTGTGTGGTCCCCAGAATCCGGTGCGTTCTAGAACTGCGAAATTGATGTACATTGGAGGTGGATATTGAATGCAAAGAGTATTGGATTTTGATGTTTCGTCCTTCCCCTCCTGGGAGACAATTCTGAAGCCCGGTAGGGATGCAGTTTCTGTCTGCGAATATTTCAGACCTACACTCGATTTTGACCCCACGTCTTTGGCCCAAGTTACGCCGCATTTCCGTTTTTCACCTGGTTTTAGAGCCGGGGATCTCCAGTTCTCTCAAAGCAAGTTGATTTTTCCGTCGATGTTCTCGAGATTCCTCCGTCAGATTTCCAAGTGAGGTGGAATAGTTGTGTCTGCTGCCCCCGTCCGGCTCTCCTCCAAGTTTCGTGCAAACCGATGGGCATTGAGAAACAAACGTGTCTCCATCGATGAATTGTGCGCAGATCTCCTCGGTGCCACAACGAACCGACACGCATATTTTTCAATCGATATTTTTTGCAACCCCACAGGACCCGCTCCACGGCAACAGGGTTTAGACTCGAAGGCGTGGACAAGGGGGCGGAAACTATTCAGCAAATTCCCGGAAGAACAGTGAATAGCACCCGAAAACAATTGTGACCAAGCGCGGGCGCCGTGTTGTTCCCCGTCGTGCGCTGGGCCGCCTGTCGCAAGCACCTCACACCGCCCAATCCGCTCCCCTCCGTGCCAATAACAGATTGCACAGCAGACCACAACGACGTACAACCCAGACAACAGATCAGAGGCCTTAATTATTTGTCAGACACGTCCAACAGGAGCGAGTGTGGACATAATACATGTCGCTGCTGTCACACGGGAACAACACACGCAGTCAGACGCACAACATATATTTGTTGCACACACACATGCGCAACTCGCTTGCTGCACCGTTTTTTGCCGTTTTCGCCAAGATACATGCCATCCCTCCCCCCTCGGCCTGCTCCCCGGCCGGGGCCGAAATCGACCTGTTATAGTGAGTCCCTCGCGGGCGAACCAGGCCACAACAGATAGTCGGCGGGTGGTGTCCCAAGGTGCAACTCACCGCCGCGCTGGCTCAGCGTGGCGGTGAGGATGCACAGACGGTGGTAGTGGCGAGAGGTGTGTATGGACACTGTTCCTGCGACAGTAATGCAAAGCGGCAAACTGCACCTGGCAACCACCGTCGCGGAAAGCGTGGCCCACGAAGCTGGAGGAGTAGGAGATTCGTAAACACCACGTCAGTAAGCACCGCTCGCGGGAGAAGGGAGACAACCGCGGGCACCGCGGGGAGGGAGTGCTGCACCCTCGTCGTAAAAACACCACAGGCAAGAACCGAGCTCTGCAGAGACGGATTGATGCGAGGAAATTCGCCGCTCGGAAAATACGGAAGAAAGCACACCCGCAACGCGAGGCGGACCGAGAGGGACACGAGACCGCAGCGGCCGTCAAGGCGGCCGCGAAGAAGACGGCACGAGAGGGCGATCTATCGTTCGGCACGCTCAACGTACGCACGCTCGCCTACAGCGGTAGGAGCCCCATCGGTCACAACGTGATGACGGTCATGCAGATTTGTTCCGCGACCGAGTGTGATGTGATAGGACTTCAGGAGACCCGACGAGAGGGGCAAGGTTCAATTGCACACGACGGGTACGTGATCATCTGGAGTGGCGCCCGTGCTGGCACCAAGGACAAGAGGGGCGTACACGGTGTGGGCATAGCGATCAAGGAGGCCATGTGGGAGAGTGTGGGCGAGGAAGGTTGGACGGTGGAGTGCATTAGCCAGAGGCTGATGAAGGTGCGTCTACAATTGGCCGCACCTGCGGAGTAACTTTTGTGGTGGGGTACGCCCCCACGGAAACTGTCCGCACCACCGCTGGCGGTGATGTTAACGCCAAGGACTCCTTCTGGACTGCTTTCGATGCAGCGATCCGGGAAGTTCACAGCCGTGACCATCTCGTGGTGCTAATGGACGCCAACGCACGCACTGGTAGGAGGCGAGACGGGTGCTGCGATGCCAAAATTATGGGCTCGTGCGGACGCGGCATTATGAACAACAACGGGGAACGACTCCTTGGACTGGCATCAGACAACCAACTCTCCCTGACCGACACCTACTTCCGGACACCGAAAGGTGGAGTGCAGCACATATTCCAAAGCTCCAACAAGGGGAAGAAGTATCGCCTCGACTTCATCCTCATGCGTCAGACGGACCGGCGTTTCGTGCGTAATGTCTCCGTCAAACGTGTCGACTTCAAGGACTCTGACCACAACCTCGTGCTTACGACTCTTCGCCTCCCCCCCCGTGTCGCACCCAACCGACGAGTGCGGGGGAACAGCGGAAGCAGCCGGATCCGTATTGACCTCGAGCGGTTAACGAAGGACAAACTCCTACGGATCGCCTTCCACGACAGGGTCCTCCAGCCGCCCTCCGCCCACGGCGCTCAGGCGGCCAACGGGAGAGACCGCCGCCGAGCTGACGGCTACGGTGATGTCGGCCGCTGCTGAAACCGCGCCGCTGGCGAGGCGCGCACGAGGGCAGAGAGGCTGGTACACGAGCGAAGCGCAGCACGAGATCTCCGAAGCGTCTACAGAAATTAAGGCGACCCAGCAGCAACTGCGTGGGGCCTCACAGAACAGCGCCTTCGAGGCGACCCTGAAGGCGATGCTCAAGGCATCGCGGAAGAAGCGCAGCATCGCGAGGTGGAGAGCACTGGAAACGTTCTTAGAGGACTATGTACGGCAGCTCGAGAAGAAGAACCGCGAAGGGGATCAGGCGGGTTTCTACAGGCACCTGAAGATGATCGACGTCGAAGGTAAGAGGTCGTTCACCTCTCAGAACAT